GTCTCGGCGCGCTTCTGGCCCCGCCTCCAGGTCCGGCTGCCGGGCCCCCCGGCCGCGCTTTGAACCCAAAACTGCGGGTTTTTTTTACCTCAAAACTGCGGCTTTTGCCCTCAAACCGCCGCGTTTCGCCTCAAACCGGCGCTCTCCCGCCTCGAGCCGCCGGCTTCTCCCTCACAACTGCGGTTTTTAGCCGTGGAAAGGGCGCTCTTGGCCTGAGAGCGGCGCGTTCCCTTTGTTCCCTCAGGATTCCCGGGCGCGGGATCCGGGACGCCCCGGGGGCTCCGGCCGGGCCCTTCCCTTCCCAAAGCCGCCTTTTCCCACCCAAAGCGGCGCCTCTTCCCTCAGGAATCCACCGCAAAGCTCCCGCTTCCCTCCCAAAGGCCGCGCCGGGAAATCCCGCCGGGAATCCGGCAGGAAATTCCAGCCGGGAGCGAGGAATTCCCGGCTTCCCTCACGGGGGCCGAGGGCTGCGTTTAAAAGAAAGAAATCCGCTAAAATCGAGGCTTAAGGGAGGGGGAAAAAAAAATCCGAATTGTTTTTTTTTTTATCCCCGTTTTTAAGGGGTTTAGCCCAGATTCCATTTCCCCGTTTCCAAATCCCCCCTCAGTTTTAAGGGATTTATCCCAAATTCCGTTTCGCTCTGCCTAAATTCTCAGAGGTTTTTAGCCCCAAATTGCGTTTCTTTGTGCCTAAATCCCCGCCGGTTTTTGGGGGTCCCAAAATGACCCCAAATCCTTCTTTGGGGTCCCAGAATGACCCCAAATCCCTCCTTGGGGTCCCAGAATGACCCCAAACCCTTCTTTGGGGTCCCAAATGACCCCAAACCCTTCTTTGGGGTCCCAAATGACCCCAAACCCCTCTTTGGGGTCCCAAAATGACCCCAAATCCCTCCTTGAGGTCCCAAATGACCCCAAATCCCTCCTTGGGGTCCCAAATGACCCCAAATCCCACCCTGAGCTGTCCCCTGTCCCTGCTGGGTGACAACGCCGTGTCCCCAGAGCGGTGGCTGCTCTGTGGGCAGGAGGAACCCCCTGTGTGACATTCCCTGCCCCTTGGTGACAATCCCTGCCCCACGGTGACAATCCCTGCCCCTTGGTGACAATCCCTGTTGCTGTCCCCAGAGCGGTGGCTGCGCTGTGGGCAGGAAGAACCCCCTGTGTGACATTCCCTGCCCCTTGGTGACAATCCCTGTCGCTGTCCCCAGAGCGGTGGCTGCGCTATGGGCAGGAGGAGCCGGCGGGCAGCCGACAGCTCGTCCTCGGGGGAGGAGGAGGAGTATGTGGTGGAGAAGGTTCTGGATCGGCGCGTGGTGAGGGGCCAGGCCGAGTACCTGCTCAAGTGGAAGGGCTTCTCCGAGTGAGTGACACTGGGGACAGCGCGGTGGCACGAGGGACAGGGACGGGGGATGGGGACAGGGACAGGGACACAGCTCCTGGGGACAGGGACAGGGGATGGGGACAGGGACACGGCTCCTGGGGACAGGGACAGGGGACAGGGACACGGCTCCTGAGAGCTGGCACTGGGGATCCAGCTGTGTGACAGGGGACACAGGGACATGGGGACATTGCTTGGACCCTGTGGGGACCCTGCTCAGTGACAGAGGACACCACAGTGACCCTGAGGTGACCCTGGGGTGCCATGGGGACACTGCAGGGACCCTCCTCTGTGACAAGGTGACCCCGGGGTGTGACAGGACCCACAGCTCGACGGCTGGGGGGTGTCCCTGGCTGTCCCCTGGACGTCCCCCGGTGTCCCCTGGTGTCCCCTGACCGTGTCCCACAGGGAGCACAACACGTGGGAGCCCGAGAAGAACCTGGACTGTCCCGAGCTGATCTCGCAGTTCCTGCGCAAGGACCGCAGGATGAGGGACATGAGGGACATGAGGGACAGTGACGGGACACGGCCCCGGGAGCGCCCCGAGGGCGCCAAGCGCAAGGGACTGCCCGGGAACGAGGATGGGCGCGCCAAGAAGAAGAGGGAGGTGAGAGGGGACACCTGGGGACAGGGACACGGGGACACAGGGAGGGGACAGGGACACAGGGATGGGGACACTGGGAGGGGATTGGGACACCTGGAGACATCAGGAGGGGACAGAGACAAGGGGATGGGGACACAGGGATGGAGACAGGGACACCGGGGGGGACAGGGACACCAGGATGGGGACACAGGGACACAGGGATGGGGACAGGGACACCGGGGGGGACAGGGACGCCAGGACAGGGGTGGGAATCCAGGGATGGGGACAGGGCCATGGAGAGGGGACAGGAATGGACACCCAGGGTTGGGGACAGTGACACCTCTCCGCGGGGACAGGAGTCCTGCAGCGGCCACCAGGGAGGGGACAGTGCCACCACGCTGGGACTGGCACCGTCCCCAGCCCAGAGCTGCACCCTGTCCCCTCTCCCTCCCAAAATCCCGGGGTTTTTTCCCAAAACAATTCCCTTTGTCCCCAAAACCTCGCAGAGCAACGACATCGCCCGCGGCTTCGAGCGGGGGCTGGAGCCCGAGAAGATCATCGGGGCCACCGACTCCTGCGGGGACCTCATGTTCCTCATGAAGTGGTGAGGCCACCAGCAGTGTCCCAAGAGTCCCCTCAGCCCCCCAGCTTGTGTCCCCCAGTTTGTGTCTGGGACCCCCCCAGTTTGTCCCTGTGTCCCCACTCTGTGGCCCAAATTCATCCCCTGTCCCCACTTGGTTGTCCTCACTTTGTCCCCAGTTTGTCCCCAATTTGTCCTCGGTTTGTGCCCCCAGTTTATGCCTGTGACCCAAATTTCTATCCCCAGTTTGTGTCCCCAGTTTGTGTCCCCAGTTTGTCCCCAGTTTAACCCCTGTCCCCAGTTTGTCCCCAGTTTGTGTCCCCAATTTCTGTCCCCAGTTTCTCTCCCCAGTTTGTCCCCAGTTTGTGTCCCCAGTTTAACCCCTGTCCCCAGTTTGTCCCCAGTTTGTCCCCAGTTTCTCTCCCCAGTTTGTCCCCAGTTTAACCCCTGTCCCCCCCCGTCCCCCCTTTTCCCGGTGCCCCCCCAGGAAGGA